CCTTTTTAAGCATTCTTGTTTAAAGTATGAGAACTCACACTAGAAGATTAAGTCATCTACACTATACCAAGTAAGAAACTCTATTCTGAAACCAGGTGTCTCGAAATCAAACTTCAAAAAAAGAGAAGTCGTCATTACGATTACGGATTGGTGACTTGAACATGTATTCCTTTCATCAGTTCAAAAAATCCAGCCCTAAACTGTGACTTAAATGTGGCGCTACCGTATCTACTCCTCATATTATCCTCTAAAGCTAAGGACTTGATGATGATAAGAAATCATTCAAAATAGAAGGCAGCTTATACACATTGTTCAAGTCAGATAAAGATTGAAAAAATATTTTGAAATCACTAGAAATAAGCAAATTAATTTATGTAATATATTAACGATATAATTTTTATGATACAACCATGTAATATATATGATGTAATGATGCAATAGTTTGTAACGCTGGAATTGTTGGTAATGTACTGAATCATATGAGGTTGCTGATAACCTAAGATGTTACAAAGTGACCATAAATGAACTAATTTAAAAAATTGAATTCCATAATCAGCAAAAATTTCTTAAATAAAACAAATGTATTTGTTAGTTCTACATTAAATATATTGCCTTCCTTAAATCAATTTTCAATCTTAAGAATAATATACATAGTACATAATTTGTATAACTCTCCTGGCAACGATGACAAAAGTTTTAAGAATTTCAATGTCATCCTGATGCCATTTTGCGAACTGATAGTGGAAAAAATAAAGGAAAATTTGAAACCGCTTTGAGAAAATAATTGTTTAAAATTTAAAAATCGTCTATGTTTGACGCAATTAATCAAAAATACTCACATTTCCGAAAAATTCAATTTTCGAAAAATTGAATATTTTTTTATTTCAAGATCGGTTTATGAGGTTTACAGTTCATTAAAACAAAAAATATCATAAATTGTCATTATAGGAGACGCTGAAAAAAATGTAAACTTGTGCAATTAAATAATCGAGGATTTGTACGAAAATGAGATCTGCACCCTTCTCCTAAGCGCCCATTAGGCTGAGAACAAAATTTTATCAAAAAGTTTGTACCATTTTTTTAAAAGTTTGAAACTGTCCCAGGAGTTTCATGTAAGTTTAATCCCAAATTAAAATATTGATTTCAAATTCATAGGCTCGCAACATCAGCCAGATCGATCGGAGAATATCAATTTTCAATAAATTCGTCTGAACGGTTTATCCGCTAGCATTGTTCATATACAGACAGACGTTTTGTCGTCAATCGATTTTTCGGTATCAAGGACTCACAAACCAGGAATTCGGGCTACATCTCGTGTTACAGGATTTTTCCTTAATTACTCGTTCCACAGTAATGTATGCCTTTTCCACCTTGTCCAATACAGCCAAATTTCACATTAATAAAATACAGGTACTCCAAAACAATTTTACTCGTAAAATTCTTCAAACTCTTTGGTATTCTAATACACAATTACACAATGAAATAAAAATTCATTCTATTTACACTCTAATAAGTTACTACAGCCAAAAATTCTTCAACTGCTTAGATGATTTACAACAAACACACACTTTTAATTTATATCAAACACACACACTTCCTAGACTATTCTTTCAAGATTTGTGAAAGAAAAATTTCATTCCCTCAACCACATAATATTTATTATCTCCCTACTTCATTCAACTTTCTTCAAAAATCTAATTACAATTTTTCATTATAATTTTATCTTTAACATACTATTGTGAATAATACGTACCTCAGGTTACGTTTGGGATCCAAATTTTCAGTTATGTAAATTTGGAATGTCAAAACCCTGAAAGGCATTCTTAAGAAACATGCAGAATTTTTTAAATCACCATTTCCGGTGCACAATTAAAATACTTTATCTTCTTATGAAGTAAGAGCGAGAAAGTAAAAGGTATATAGTTGATAAATTGTTAAGCCAATCGTTTCCTAAATTAATGTATTGGGATTGTAAACTTTTACTAAGCAATAGTCTGTTGCGGCATGTCATATTGGATATATCTTATAATATGCTTCACTATTAATATAAAATCCTTTAGTTTTTCACCGCTTTACCAATTTCTGTACAATTTCATTTCTCTGATAGTATTCTTTTTTGTTATATGCCTATGTTTTAACTCGATTTTTGTTATTTTTATATTCTTTCTTATTTTATTGATTTTTGCACTTGTTTAACAGTCTGTATAAGTTTTAGAAACGTATATGATGATTAATAAAAATAAATGATGCTAATGATAACGCTTTGATTGTCCGTGAGGCTGTAAATTTAAAAACACAATAGGACATATAAAGAATATAAATGGTCACGATTTATTGCGCGTAATCTTCTGAAAGGAAATATGCACCTAGCAACGCTGCAGGTCATCAGATTACCAGACAAAACGGCAGGTTAGCAGTTGACATTTCAAGAATATAATGATAGTACTGTGATAAGCACCGCTCTTATTATTTAGTACTACAAACTGACACTAACGTACAAGATGAAAAATATTGCCACTCCCATATATTTTCTTTAGATAGCCGTAGAAAACGGTATTATATAAGAGGGAATGGCCAAAATTGTGTCGATTACTCGATCAGTACTGCAACCATGAACCTTCCATTGAAACTCGCGACGGTTTTCGTCGTATTACTATTACATTTTTCAATATCACACGGATTAATGCAAGAATCTCCTTCGTTCGGAGGTTCGTTGAAAAATTTTGAAGGAAAACCTTCAGATCTATTTAAATCTGAAGAAGGTTTTCAGCAGAAAAACAACAACAGGTATATGTTTTATAAATTATTATGAGGTTAAGAGCAAAGGAGCACTAAGAAGATGATGACTAACAGAAAATATTTACTTTGTAAAGAATAAATGATTCATAGAGGAGGGAAGGTCATCGTCAAACAGGGAAGATCTTGAAAAATCTGAACTCATATGTTGTTAAAAAACAATTACGTCTAAGTTAATTACACAATGTAATTAAAGACTTGAGTGTACATTTTCTATTTGTTGATGATAATTGTTTTGTTACTTTTATGAAAAAGATTGAATATCCATATGAGTGCCTTTTTAACACTTAAATAATGAGCTAGCCCACATTAAGAGAATAGTGAGTTAATTGTGACGTTTCCATGATTTTTAACACGTCCTGAGCGAAATGTGTGTGTTTCGTAGTGTTTCAGGCACACTTGGTAATGTTTTTCCCATGATTAGTCAGAACGAATAAGTGGTGTGCACATGGGAAACAAGATTGAGAAGCCACATTTCGCGCATGGCGTTTAAAATAAAATTTTGGCAGATCGTTTTACCTCTCAAAAAATTTACAATTTTGGCCATGGTCCCTAGAAGAATAAAATTATTTGTGACCGTCTCCATTTAAAATATTGTACATTTTTTGAATAAATTAAGAAGTTAATGACTTTTGAACATATTAATAGTTAAATTATATTTTGTATTGGCAGTTTTATCAGATTTGGTGCTGGCAGACGCTTATATAATATTTCTGGAAATCAGTAATAGTTGACATTTGGCCAAGTTTATGAGCGATCTAAAAGGCCTGACTGTAATTGCAAAATAATTGCCTTTTAACTTGCATACTTATACTTGCATACATTGTTACATTATAAATGTTACAATGTATTTTACGATTTTTGTTTGTTATGGCGGGGTAATCGCGGGCACGCCCCACTATTTCGATGCACTTTTTACTGAAATTTATTGTGTATTGACGGGGATAATTTTGCCCATTTTTAAAAAATTACTAGTTTATCTTAGATAAATAGGTACTTTATAGTCAATTTACAGTTCTCTTTATTTTTTCGCCTTTAAATTTGTCATTCTGCTTAACGTTTATTAAGAGATTCGAACCAGCGTTGTTTACAGACTGACAGACAGACGGTCAGACATGTTTTGCCACAATTCGATTTTTCGGAATCAAGGACCCCAAAAACATGAGTTCTGGCTACACCACGTAACAAAGGATTTTTTTAAATTTAGCATCTGCGTTTATCCAGGTTACCAGGGCCATATAATAAGATATTTTCTGCCAAAAAATGTACCGTTTTTCGCGCAACAAAACATAACTTTCTCGCTACTGCGTAAGCAAGGGGTAATTAGGTAAAGCAGATGCTTCCGTTTCTAGCTTTAGGTACTAATGCTTGGTTTAATTTAATTTTTGTGTTTTGAATTATTTTCATCTGTTTGCTTTTACATCCATGGCCCAAAAAATTCAGATACACGAAATGTCTTTGGCTGCGTCGCACGTGACAAACCGAACGGCACTGAATAGTATGTTGCTTACCAATCAGGACAAATATCTTCGTTTCTGTTATAATGAAATTTTCACAAACATGGTCATTGAAAATTATTAATTATGAGATACCTACAGATAGAAATGGAAAAAAGTTGCTATAATATTCTTTTTACATTAATAGAGATAATTCGATACTTAAATACATTTTATTTTACTTGAATGCTTTGCATGAATATTGCTTTTCATAATGAACTGTCTTTCAGTTGCCGTGCTACATGCGAAGTGTGCCGCCTGTGCATCAATAAATCATTCTCCAGCATCTGCAAAGAACTCTGCAAACTATGCCAGAGATGCAACCCAGCGTCTAATCGAAGACATGGTTATTGGGATCATTGGTGGTGAACATCATTACCTTAAATATGAAACAAGAAATGTTCTTTAAGAAGGAAAAACTATTCCTAAATATTCCTAAATTCAGAAAATGAATTTCTTAGTGGCAGCTCATAAATGGTTTTTGTTTTACGACTATTCTCCTTCGCTGAAATAAAAATATTTCACAAGTCTTAATTTGTTTTATTTTTTATTCATTACTAAAAATATATAGTACATGGAATTTATATATTATTTTTGTTACGTTTTGGTGACTTCACATCAACAACACTACAAGTATTTATACTATGCTATTTGAGGAGACGTGTATTTGAGTGTGTGCGTCCTTGAGTGTCCTTTTAAGCGCAAACTGGCCCAAAAGGTATAAGTATACCGTATGATCAAAGGTATGTTTATACGGCAATTTATATAGTAAAAAGAGGAGCTAATTAAAATATGTACTCATTTTATTGTATAGACAGTTCAGATAAAGTCACTTTTTACTGGCAAGAAAATTGATATTTTGGATGTAGCACAGACATCAGACTATCGCTTAAAATTTTCTCTGGATGGCACTATTAAGTATGTACGCGTAAATTAATGAGCGAATTAATATTTTATTCATCCGCATTTACACTGCACATTGTGTGCTGTTAACAGATGTGTCAGAATAAATGTTAGGTTTAGAGCAGGCAGAAAGTTGAAAAGGTTTTGGAAATGAACATCTGATGGTAAATCTACATAACTTAAGTTATATGGATTAAATTCTGATTGATAGACAACGCACCGAGTACTTGTGTTTGGTACATATGGAAAAAGTTTTTGAATTTGGAAAATTGACTTTTTGGTTAATAAACAATGTGCCCATGTAAGAAAGAAAAATCTTCAGCAAACAGGAAATTTGTAACGACAATTAAACTTCGTTCGGCTAGATGAGCAATACGAATTGTGAGGCAGAACGAAGTGGAGGGTGAGACACTTCATGTTGAGTCGACGCCGAGTCGTCGGCCTAGCCCACGCCCCTCCCCAGCGGGGTACCCGTCCCCTGGCCCCGGTCCTTTGCGTTTGGGGGCCAGAGAACACGTTCACGCGGTGGCCCAAGAGTCATTGAACAGTGCAAGCATGGAGAAATTTTCTTTGGAGCAGATAACACATGTCTACAAATTAATTTTTTGTGGGCTGTTTTACATTTGAAATGTAATTCTAAATATTTCAGTACTACTGTTTCCAAAATGACCGGTCGTTTTTTCTCTATACATCAGGAATGAAATATCCACATGATGTTATTGTTAAAAATTACAAAACCACACAGCATTTAATAATAGTTTAAAAATGCAATTTGTGAGTTTTTTTGCCACAAATTTACATTTCCATTCGGTTTATAAACATACATCAGTAAAAATCTGTCGTTAGTTTTCAAACTGTTTGTCTCTTGGATTTTCTCTAGTTATTTCTGTAATTTCGCCTACACAGCATTCAGCAAGTAATCTGCCATCATTGAAATTATTCCAATCGTCCTTGGTATCTCCTCTCACATTTCTCGAAATCCTTGATGAAATCTCTTTCCTAGTTTTTCACTTAATGCCCTCAGGTTGTTCAAGAAAAATTCATCAAAATGTTAAAACAGAAAGTGTAATTTGAGACTCATATATTGCATGCCCAACGTTCTAAACTCCCATACCAGTTCACAATTGTTTGACATAATCAGGATGTTCATTATTTCCCTAAAAAATTTGTCCATAACTTCTTAAATGCATTCCAGCATTTTTCTCTTTAGAAGTCATATTAGCTTCAAATTCCCTTGTCTGTAGTTAAAAGCTCTGATTTAGGGACTCACAAGATTCCTTCTTTAATTTTTGCTTCAGACAGAGCAGGAAATTTGTGGCTGAGATATTTAAAACAATCACCATCTGGGTTAAGAGCTTTCACAAACTGCTCATTATACAAAGTTTTATATGAAGAGGTGGCAAAATTATTTTCTTAGGATTTACAAGGCTATCCCTTATTATGTTCGTACTTCCTGGTGTTAAACTTTCTCTTTTGGGCCATTGTTTTTGTATTCATTGTTTTTCTCTTGCTCTGCTATCCCACTCACACATATAGCATGGATATTTCGTGAATCCTTGTTGTTGTCCTAATATCATACTGATAACTTTCACATCTCCACAAAATAACCACTCATGCTCAACATATTTAATTTTCTCCAAAACAAAGTTCAAACTTTCATAGCTCTCTTTCAGCCGTACTGAGTGTGCTACTGGAACTGAAGAAAGGGCATTACCACAGTGTAGCAGCACGTATTTAAGAATCCTTTTTCTCGAATCGATGAATAGTCATTTGGATCATATTTAACAGAACCCAATTTGTTTAATAAGTCTGGAATGTTATTACAGTAAACTAGATTTTCTTCATCACTGAAGTACTGCAAGATATGTTTTTCTCCGTTCCTGTAGAAAGTCACTGATGTACCAGCTGCCGGCAAGTTGTTTTCCTGTAGTCTGCAACCTAATAGCTCATGTGCATATTTGGGAAGGTTTAAATCCCTTACTATATCATTCAGCTAGGCTGGTGTTAACGAGATATCGGAAATTAATTTTTTCTCTAATTATAGACAAAAAATATTAAATGAATGAAAATTTAAGCTAGCTTCTGATAGCAAAGTCAATATTACACGAAATCTACTACAATATAGGGAAAATATACATGTTCATAATTAAAGAAGTCAATATGGAAAAATAACTAATTCAAGGGAAAATCTCTCTTTAATTTTGTTGTTGCAAAAAGACGTCTAAAAATTTCGAAATTTTGAAATTTTCGAAATTTCAGAGTTAAACTTGAAAAAGCAATAACTTGAAAATCGAACATATGCCACATTTATAAATGTATTTTACTCTAATCTTACAATAAATTTAAAGAAAACAAATGTAGCCGTTTTTGAGGTAATCTTAAAAATGTCGATGGAGCTTCACGTAAAGTATCCCCAAATTTTAAAATTGTTTTTCAAAATCTCAAAAATTCGACACGAGCCTGATCGACACGTTTTTCTTCAATTTCAAAAAAAAATACTACGTGTAGTTTAGACGTTAGTAATGTTCACACATGGACAGGCGGACAGAGAGACTGACAGACGGACGTTATGAAAAACATTTTTTCGGTATCGGGAGACCCCAAAACATGTACTTCCGTGAAAATCTCGATATCGATTTTCCGCAGCATTACATAACTTCACCTATACTACGTATTTTACTCCGTATATACATATATATATATATATAATATATAATATATATATATATATATATATATATTAAGAAGTAAAAACTAATCAAGTCAATTGTAAAGAGGATATAATTTCCTACACCTTTACCAAAAAATATTGTTTTTGAAACTAATTACGAAGCAAGCGTTTTTCAAAATAATGTAATTTTTTATTTCTCCAAAATGGTGCACAAATATATACGTTAGTAAAATTACAATTATCCCACAATACATATTATTTTTACGTGTAATACTATTATTACGTGTAAAAATTTACATTAATAAGTTGTATTGAAAATAATTAGGTCTTTGCTCAGTTTGTTACAGTCTTAGAATTTATTATTATACTTATTATCATTTTATGACTCAGTGACCTATTATTTTGTTACAAAAGTTTAATAGTCTTATCGGTAAAATTAGGCTGCGGTTATTTTTTTTATTATAATAGCATCTCTTTTATTTATTGCATTCCCTCTTTGATGTAATATGGTCATATAATTTGTCTATAAATTTGTCTAGCTAATTTTATATTCGTAGGTTAACAATTTTATTCTTTCTCGTATAGGTAATTAAACTTTGGTGCTATAAGATTCAATGTTTGATAATAAATGCTCTTTTATGGAAAATTTCATTGCTCCAAACGTAAGTCTTACAGTGTCTTATAAGTCTTGGAAACGTAGAGTTTAAGGATACATGTATCCTTAAACGTATACAAAAAAAGAGTTGAGTTTTAAAAACTCGTGTTAAAGGTATTAACAATCCTTTTTGATAGAAAAATCTGTCTTGTCAGGTGAAATAGTTTCAGGTTGACTTTTGGTCATCTTATAATTGAAGGGTTCTATTGGATAAAACATCCCACATTGATCTAATTCTGAGATATTGAGTGCTTTATTAGAATTTTTATATAATAATTCATTACATTTTAAAATTTTGTCATGTGAGTCTTTACTGGATTTAAATAACACATAACACTAAAATAATAATATTTGAAGATATATTCAATTCTACTGACTGCTGAAGTATCCTGGTATTCTGGACGGTTAAGAATGTTTTTTTTCTCTTGGGGGATGTTTTCTTCACATTATACGATAGGTACAAATGTCCAAATCACATAGCGCAGCAGCATTTCACTTCCTGGTAAATTATATATCTACACTTGAATTTTCTTCTTCGCCCCAAATCGTTATCTATATGTCATGAATTAAATTTAAAGAACAACGTAGTGCTACATCCACATACATTTTTGGTATAACAACACCGATTGTTTCGAAAGTGTTCAAAATTTTCAACAGTGGACATCGTTTCCTGACAACAAAAATGACAACAAATTACTTTGATTTTCTTCTGGAAGGATGGTTCAAAACGACATTGAATTACAATTGAGGAAAACTTAGAAATGTTATAAATCCTTACAATAATATATTTTATACTCTAATATGTTACATTAACAATTTCAGACTTATTAACACCATATGGAAGAAATATGCATATGCATCAATTAGTATGAAGTATAATACAAGACACAATTACTCTATAACTTAAAACGATAACTGATCACTACTAGGCAAATATGAAGTATTACCTATTATACTGCTATTATATGTATATCTGCTTGCGAGGGCAGGTTAGCACAATTTTCATACTTGTATTAGTGTTATTCGCCCCTACGCAGAGGCTCCTAATCCTTCCAATGCTGCAAGTGCATACGTCGCCTGCTCCAGATGGTGGATGGCAGGTCGTCGACGAGGAGCGCACGTGGGTGCCCCTTGCCACGT